TGCTGAATATCAGTGCTGCTTTCGTCTATGCTTTAGAATGGGTAGAAGAGAAACTCGGGTATAACTGATGATGAAAAATATTAAATGTTTGCATGTTCTTTTAATGCTTGGAAAGATTTTGAAGAAAATCTGCAGATTGTAACTGGTAAGATCAGTCTGCCATCTTAAAAGCTGATTATGTGTAAATTCGATTATAGAAATGTCTTCTAAAGTATTCAGGCTATATTTAAGATAATGAAGTTTTGTTCCTTAACCTGATTTCAGCTTACATCTGGAAGAAATTAAAAATCCAAACCATGCGTCATTTCATTCCTTAAAAATGCCTCCTACCTGCTGCACTCTCCCTTGCCTGTGTCTTGGATGTGAACATTTCTGCCAAGTAACAGCGATAGAATGAGAGGAAATGGTCTCAAGTTGTGCCAGGGCAGGTTTAGTTTGGACATTAGGAAAAATTTCTTCCCCCAAAGGGCTGTCAGGCTCTGGAAGGGGCTGCCCAGGGAAGGGGTCGAGTCCCCACCCCTGGGGGGATTTAACAGCCGGGCAGCCGAGGTGCTGAGGGCCAGGGTTTGGGGGTGGGATGGCAGGGGTAGGGGAACGGTTGGGTTGGGGGAGCTTAAAGGTCTTGTCCAACCTGAATGATTCTGGGATTCTATGATACAGCTGGGCTGGGGATGATGGAGCACCAGCTTGCAGGAGTCCCCCACCCATCCCAGCTGCAATGGCCAGGGAGAAGCATTCCCTGCCGTGCTGATCCTGGATCTCCGCCTTCCTCCACCGACTATATAGGCCTGTTCCTAAAGGCGTCTGGTTTTTTTCTTCTCCCCACGTCAGGATTCTGCATGGAATTGGGTCTGAGCTCTGTACATCTGTCCTTTCTGGCTTGCCATCTTAATGTGTCTCCATACAGGCTGTGGGCCTGGGTAAGGGCTCGCTGTGACTGCTGTCGTCTCTCTCTGTTGGTGAAATAATGTTTAGAGATGAGTCCGGTACGTGTTCCCTGACAATACTGCATTATATGAGCATGTAATAAATGATAATTTCTGTTCCCGGGAGCTGAATAAAATTGGGTTTGAGAGTGGTTATCACCTGGTGAGATTAAGAACTAAGCTTTTGAGTGGTACTAACAAATTTTTTGTTTTGTTAGGGGAATATATCCTTTACTGAAAAGGATATACTGTCTCTGAAAATAACCTTTTTTTTTTTAGGTTTGGAATTGTAAAAATCTAAGTATGGAATCCAGAGTTCAGTGAATTTTTGACCATTTTAATGCTGTGTTTTGTTCTAATGTAATTTTAATATGCTAATAGACATAGTTTCTTTCCTTTCTGTTGTCCAGGCCACAAGATTTCATTGTAAGAAAGCAATTGGGGAAACTCCACTTAAATTTTTCTTGCTGCACTAGCCCAAGTCATTTTGTCCTCCCTGGTATTTGCACTGGTGCCAGTTGCATGGGTCACCACAGAAGGTTAATATTTGCTAATGGCAATTCTGCTCTGGGTTTATGGTGCAGCTATAAGGCAATACCTAGTGAATGCTGGCTGACTGCAGCCCACGGCGTAATGTTCTCTCCACTCACTCATGTGCTCTCATCGTTGTAAAGCCTTCTTTCTTTTTCATTTTTCTGGCTGCCGCCAGGCAATTTTGGGTTATTATCACGGTGCTAGAGCAGAGAGTCTTACCTAGCATGTACCTATTTCTTTTACAACAGATGGCCCACAAATGGGAACATTAGTCCCACTGCCTCTGTATCTGAGTGATTTTCTTTTCCTTTTTCCAGGTGCAGAATAAAAGAAAATATGTTCTCCCGGCTAAGAGTAGTCGCCACTCCCTGTGCGATGGTACGTCGCAGCGCACATACGAAAGAAAAAGGCAAGCCACTGATGTTAAACCCACGAACAAACAAGGTTGGTAGTGTGTGATTATCAAATATCTTATCTTCATCCGGTAATCGTCCCGTGGACCTTGTTCCAGGGTTAAACCACTTCCAGGAGGTGTACTGGGCCACAGCCAAAAATGGGTACAGAAGATGGAGGAGTCAGTGACCAAGTTTACTACATGGACACCCAGAGTACAAGGACTTTCCATAACACCTTCTGCTTCTGGTCAACTGGCGCTTCCCTTGGTTTGCTGGGGTTTACACAATCCATACTGCTGCTTCCTTGTGCCAAAGGAAGAGTCGCTGATTCTTGCTGATTATTGGCTTAGTTTTGGGGCTGGTTTAATTGAAGTAAAGCTTTAGCAGGTAATGTGTCTATCTTCATAGTTTGCAAAAGTTAATTCTGAATTCAGTCTTGCTAGTGATAACAAGTGTTAGCCTCTCTGTCCTAGTTCTGGCTTTTTCCTGCTGCAAGACTGTGAATTGGGACTGAGCCCTATCAGTAAGAAACCTCCCTTTGCAGAGAGCTGGACAGAGAGCATCTAAAAATAAGCCTTGAACGGAGCTAGCTGCGAGTTAGAGACATTATGTTAATTCCATGCATTGGGAGGAATTTCTCCTAAGAAAGTAGCTTTTTTTTTTTTTTCCCCCATCACAAAAATTTTCCTATTTCCACAGCGCCATCCCCAATCTTTTTTTTTACTGGAGTAGCAGTAACCTTCAGGAACATTGAAACAATTAATGTGTAAACTAAAACTAGTAAGAAATGAGATGAGGGCTGTTGGTAGCTGATCCAAGATGTCTAAAGTGGCCAAGAAAGGTGACAAATCTAGCTGCCTCTAACAGGGCATTTCCGGAGCAATGAAGCTATGGAAGGTGGACTTCCATAGTTTTGTCCTACAATTTTAATGTCTGGCTTTTCTCCCCTTCCCCATTACCTGATTTTATTTTTTTCCCTCCCTGTAATGCCTTATATTTCCCCTTCAGTGTGAATATCCTTCCCTCCTTCCCTTCCTTTTCTGCCCATGGCCCTGGCTCCTCTCCCCCTGTATTCTTAGCTCCTTCCCATGTCCCCTTTGCCTAGATGCAAAGAAGCACGTGCTGCTATAAATTGGTCAGCTGGCAAGCCGGACACATAACCCTGAGCCTTTCTCTCAGCAGAAGGTTTAGGCTGGCTCTTCCCTCTGCACAGCAAAATCTTTTCTTTTCTTTGTCCCTCTCTTTTTTTTGTCAGAATTAGGAGTTGGCCAGTGGGCTCGAAATACCTCGGGAGGATTTCAAGCTAGGAACTGCAAGCTGCATCTCCTTGTGTCCTGCCCATAACTACAGGGAGAACTGCTTATGTTTCTTTTGGCAAAAGCGACTCCTGAGTGTCCTGAAAAAGGAAGATGACAAAATGTAGACCTGTAATCATGTTTCTTACTGTTCCTTGTACAGTATGGTGTAGTGTGGGATGCCTTGGTACCGCATGAATGCAGGTTGCTTACATAGAGAGGGAGCTGTAGAAGTTACTGGGATTGCCATGTTAGGGAAGGAGAAAAGAATAGATTGGTGTGATTTGTCAAGATCAGATTATCTCGAGACTTTTCTGAGCTATAAACACTGTGACATGCCAGGGGAAATTATTTCAAGCCCTGTAAGCTTTTCCAAGTGCTGATTATGCAACAGTATTCAGAAACAAAAACAATAGGTCGTTTTGTACTGTTTTTCTAGTAGTCGTATCTTTCTAATTTTAAATTATTTTTTTTAAGCATGGAATTCTCTGGTGGACTGAGCGCAATGCAGTATTTTTTATGGCGCCTTTTTTTTGAGGAGGAGGGAAGAACAGAGCACTGCTTATTAATAGCAGTTTATTTTTTTTTTTATTTTTTAATATCTCCAAGAAACGATACTTGTGAGAAGAAAAAAAAACTTCCCACATTTGTTTGGCTCTGTTGTATCAGTCATCAAGGCTGGCACCTATTTGAATGGACCTGCGAGCTAGTTAAGTGATCCTGCTTGATACCGATGCAATATCTCTATAGAAATGTATTTTGGAAATTCAGCAGAAAAATAAATGATTGACTAAATACAGAAAGTACTTTACCCTTTGTGCTTTTCTTGCCCACAGTGCCTCATGCGCATACATATATCATATACATACGGGCACAGATAAAGGGCTTTATCTCTTGCTGGCAGCTTGAGATCATCATTTTATGATCGTGGTTTAGTTGCTGATGTTTAGTTTTTACAGTCCCTATCAACTCTATGGAACATTTGGTCTCTTTTAATATATGTGGGCCCTAAAATAAGAACTGCAAGAGAGCAGCATCACTAACAGAAAACCACCAAATTAATTTACTCCTGTTTTTTCACCATTGGAGTAGGTTTTTCTCTTGCCATTTGGGTTTTTTTTGTCTTTTCTTTCCCATCCTTACCTGTCTTTTGCAAGTACAGACTACACCAACATCAGCTGGTTTGGGTTTTTATGTTTGAAGGCCAGCTTTCAAGTGTTTATTGTCAGGGCAGCTCAGAAAAGGTCATGAGCTATATCAGTAATGCCCTTGCTGTAGCAGCCAAACAATTGCAGAACATACTGTAACTGCATTGCTGGCATCCATGGATATTTACAGTCTTCCATGATGTTTGATTTCTGCTCTGCGACAGGGATTCAAATTACAGTTAATTGGCTTCAGGACCTTTTATTCTGCTGGAGATCCCTGCTGTGCCAAGGTAGCATTTTAAGCTTGATTTGTGCCGAGAACACTGTTAGGACGATCTCATTCGTTTAGTACTGGCAATTAAATTGTTATTTATATTGTGGGGATGCTTTGGATTCTCACTCAAGGGCCGGGATGACTTCTTCCAGCACAGAACAGATAATGGAGTAGATGATCCCCGACCTTGACAATGTCTGTTTGGCCATGTAGAGTGGTCTTTATCTTCTCTGAAAATACGTGACCTGTAACGTTATTCGTATGTTTGCTTTCTGTGTGCTTGCAGCAGATATGTGACTCTGAACAATTTGTGGCACTTTCTGTATTTTAGTTGGTGACTTTCCTACCGTCTGGCATCAATTCTTCCTGTTACTCTCTAAGTGCAGGACTGTATTTTGTACAGTTGATTCCATTACCTCTTTTTCTATTACTCTGTTCCTCAATATTGTTTGGTTATTTCATTCTTTAATATCGTTCTCCTGCACTGACAATGCCTCCCAAATTTTTAGCTTCAGCAGATATCTTCAGGACATTGCATTAAACGCACACATGCGTGCACACGTATCTGTCCGTATGTATATGCATGGGCATATGTGTGTGGGAATGCATGATAAATTTTAAAAAATAATTCACTGACGGTGTCGTAAGTGGTGGTTTAATTCCAGACTGATTCCCGAGGAACCGTCTCAGTGTCTTATCTTCCATATGGGTGGTCATCTTCTCATATCTTGTATTTAGCTAGACCGTTACTCACACTTTCATCTGTATTTGCTCCCAGCTTTTGCAGCCCAATTTATTTTCATCTGTGCCGTACTGACTACTTCCAGAAACTCTGATAGATTACCTTTGTTTAAAGAACCAGTTCTCTTAACAGAGATGTACGTGACCTCGCTGACTTCTGGCAAATATCCGAACAGTGTGTTTCCAGTTCAGAATAAAAACCAAACCAACCAAAAAATCCCAACCCAAAGTTAAAGCTAGTTGGACAAAAGAAATAGGATAGGATGAGAGAATGCAAAGAAAGTTTGTATGAACTTGAAGATCTAAAAGCAGATGCTCCCTTACCCCTTCCCCTGCCCTTCCTCACCGCGCTGTTTTTTGACACCTTTGATTTCTCTTGTTTTAATATTTTCTAGACTCTCGGTTGGGTTTAGCAGCCAGGGTGTAGGATACATCTGCCTTTCTGGGGAAACCAGGATAAAGAGGATGTGGAGATGTACTGCAAATGGTAGTTGTCACATTGCTAAGAAATGCAGTGCTTGAAATACTACCAGCAGTTTCTGATCGGTCACCAAGAAGGATCCTAGAAGGCAGGAACTGATAGAAACTGCTCGTTCCCTTGCGTGCACACCCAGCCCAAAAGACCCACCCCAAGTTTAATGTCCTGCCCAACTGGTTTGGAGATGGAGGGATTGTTGGATGGAGGTTGCACGGGTGTGCATCTGCAGCTTTTGTCGACTTCCTTGAGATCTGCATGCTTTTAAAGGGAATTAAATGTGGAAAGATGGAACTGTTTAATCTGTAACCAATCTTTATCATCTGTCTGGAAAGGTGCTGTAAGTGCCAAAGGCGGCAAGGTAGTATTGCACCTCATTTAACTTAGATCACCTATTCTGCTCAGGACTTGTGAGCTGCTGGGATGGTGGGTGGAGGAAGGAAGGGAGCTGTCTTTTTTTAATTTTAATTCTTTAATTTTTTTGATTTATTTTTTTCTTTAGTTTTAAGATTAATGCCATTAAAGGAGAACAAAAGCAATGCTATCTGCTCAGTTAGAAAAATAGCACTTTAATTAAATGTCTGAGGTGTTCAGTGATGCTGTAGGGCGTAGATGAACCATTTCAGTCCATCGTGCTCATGATTTGCAGTGTACAGCTTTACCATAACTGTTGGTGCTTGGAAACAAACCCTAGAGAAGCTGGATGACTTTCATGCTGGTGTGTAAAGGCTTTCTGTTTCTGACTTTTTCCTATTTTCTACAGGGGAATGCTTTTAGGTGAAGCCACATCGTGAGTAAATGAGAGCTACTGTGGGTTAGCTAA